TAAAAGAGTGTCAGGCATTTTTATACACATGTGCCAAGTGGAAGGGGCTAATTTAAATTTATTCTTTATTTCTTTCTAATTTCAGGTATATAATACAGACATAGTTCTATATATATATATATATATATATATATATATATATATATATATATATATATATATTGCCAACCTAATAATTTAAATGCTTTCAACACATTCCAATTAAATCATACTTATTTAGTTAAATTTAAATTTATATTTTAATAACCCGACCATGTCATCTAATACTAAGAAAAGAAAAATAACAAAAATAAAGAGAAAATTCAATATTCGATGAAAAGAAAATATTTCGCAATTGAAACATGCAGTAATATTGTCTGCCTCATTTGTCATGATAATATTGCCGTGTGCAATGAATATAATATTAAGCGTCAGTATGCTGTCAAGCATGAGTCGGAATATAATAAATTAAACGAAGAAAGAATAAAAATGAAAATGGCTGAATTAAAAAAGCAGTTTAGTTCTTAACAAAATATTCTCAAAAATAAGTTATTAAAATTGACACATGTACAAAAGTTAGTTTTTTAATAGTCGAAAAATTGGCTTGGAAGGGCAAGCGACTGATAGATGATGAAATAATAAACGAATGCATTGCAATTGCTTTTGATGAATATTGTCCCGAGAAAGTGAACTTATTCAATGACAAGAGTTTTTCACATCTGACAACTGGTAGAAGAATTGATGACATAGCTGACGGTATTGTGGATACATTGCATCCAATTATCTACAGTTTACCAGTGAACAAAAGTACCGATCAAAATAACTGCACAATTAGTTATTTTCTTCATAGGAATTGATATCAATTTTAACATAAATGAAGAAATGTTGAACTTATGCCATATGAAGGGGACAACACCTGGCCGTAACGTACTTGAACACATTATTTTATTTATTGAAAAGTTCAATATTGATAGAAATAAAATTTATTCGACTATAAGTGATGTTGCTCCTGAATTTCAAAAATAATTGATCTATTACTTGATTCATCAATAGCAATTATATGCCCAAAAGTTAAATATGAATTTGTTGATAACAGATATTGTGAAAGTTGTGAATTTTATTAGGTCTCGGGGCTTGAATCATCGGGATATCAAAAATCTTTGGAAGATTTTGACAGTGAATACGATGATGTTATTTATTTTTCAAAATTCAGATGACGCAGTAAACGGCAACTTTGAAAATATCTTAATTATCGTTATCTAAAATAAAAGATTTCATGCAAAGCAATTTAGTTTTCAACAAAACATGTATTTTTTAGAAAACGCAGAATCACTGAATAAACTTTGCGTCTTAGTAGATATCAGTGAAATGTTTTCTAAACTTAATTTGTATTTATAAGAAAAAGACCAGTTAAATTACTTAATGTTTGAGAGAATAATAGGTTTTACTAAGAAGTTACAACATTTGATAGCGGAAAAGAAAACCGGTGAAATTGTGCATTTTTAGAGTTTATTAAAAAGAAAAAAAATAATTTTCTGTGAACTTTGAAAAATATAGTAAATTATGTGAAATTTTGTTAAAAGATTTTACAATCAGATTGTTTGACCTTAGAAAAACACAACTTGAATTAAAATTGCTTAGTGATCCATTTTCATTTACTTATTTTGAAGTACCAACCGAATACTAACAAGAACTCATTGGGATCCAAAGCAGGGTATCTTTGAAAACTTATCATAGTGAAAATTCCCTTCTTGAAATTTATAAAGAAGTTCATTCTTTCAAGGAATTTAATGAAATTGACAATTTATCTAAAAAAAATGTTATGAATGTATGGTAGTACATACTGCTGTGAACAATCCATTTCGTGCATGAAAAACATCAAAAATGTTGAAAGAAATTTGTTGAGTGATCCCCATTTAAGTAAAATTCTTAGAATAAAGACTATTAACATAAAAGCAGATACTGACTATATTATAAAAGGAAAACAATGTCAAACATCACTTTGGATTTTTTCATATTGTGTAGGTATACTTTCATATTTTACTGAAAGTAAAATATGAAAGTACACCTACACAATACAGTATTTTTTAATTATATATATTTGTTATTAAAATTTGATATTCTCAACGTTTTGCACTTTTTAAATTTATCTATAGTTGTAGCCTCTCTTTTTCTCTTTGTTATCGAACTCTTCCTAGGGTTTTGGAGATAGAACCCCATAACCATATTCTGAAACTACATTATCCAGGGTACATGAATAAGTATATTTCATTTTGATCAAGGGGGTGGGGGGCAACCCACCCACTGAAAATTGTTTCCTCTTTGATTTAAATTAAATTAAAATTTGAACAAGAGAATGACTTCTTTCCAAAATATAGAAAGAAAAAAGAGTTCATATCAGCAAGATCAAAATGAGACAATATGGACGACAAGTTGAGCAAGAAATCAGCAATCGGTGTGAAATTCCTTACAATACATATTTGTTGCGACAATTCAACTGTCATATCAATGTTGAAAAATCTGTTTATCAATTCATTCACTCAAGCATTGCATCGAATACATATCAAAGACGTCAGATCAATCTTTTTTGCACACACACCACCATTGAAGATTGTGTCCGTTTCATTCAACTTACATTTAAATTTGAACAAGGGAATGACTCCTACCGAAAGTATAGAAGGAGAAAGCCAGAAGATGGAGGTCACATCGGTAAGAACATTGAGTAAAAGTGAATGCATCATTTTTCTCCACAAATTATAACAACTATTTAAAATAAATAATCATTTACTTACAAAAAATGTGTGACACGCAGTAAGGCGCGGATAATTTTGTTAATATTTATATAAAGTATTTTTGTGGCCCGGTGAATATACCTAAATATTTAATTTGGCCCATCAGGAAAACAGGTTAAAAAAAACGACAAGCGAAAAGAATCTTACTCAAGAGGAGTTGATTGTGATGCAATGGAAAAAACTAATACAACTATTACAGTTAAGAAACCCAGTGGACATTTCATCGTTACTCTTATGAGTATCTATAGCAAAATAAGATTGTCTGAGTAAGACAAAAGTTGGAAAGTAAGTCCCACGTGATCTGTCAGCAGAGAATCGCAATCGACGTTTTGAATATTCTGCATCATTGTAATTTTTTTATTTGAAACTCCAAAGAATCATTACAGGAGATGAAAAATGGTTTCTTTAACAGGATGTTAAGCTGAGACATCAGTGGCTTCGTCGTGGTGGATTACCTACTCAGCAAACATGAGCGAGACTGCAGCCAAAGAAATTTCATCTGAGTGTTGCTTGGAATATGCAGAGTCGTTTATTATGTACTGGTAAATGATAAAACGTTAGCAGCCGAATTTTACTTCTAAATACAGGGTATTTAAAATCAGTTTTTCATGAAAACTTTCATCTTTTTTCAAGAAGAAAGGGTTTCATCCTTCACCATTATAACTCACGACTCCATTTTTTTTACATATAACCAAATATCTTCTGGAAGAACTCGGCTGAAAAAATGATTTTTTCATTATATTCCTTGGATCAGACTCCTTTTCATCGCTATCTGCTTGGGAGCCTATAAAGTAATTTAGACTAATTCCAAGAAAAGAGCTCGGGAATGTTTCAGGTAAAAAAACCGAAATGATTATTCGCAATATTAAAAATCTTGCTCAATGACGGGATAAGTTCATTGAAAACAATGATTAATATATTGATAGTTAAATATATCTCGTTTTAAACTGACGCCTTCTTTGTTTTTTCCATATATCTAAACTATAAATATAAACTATAAATTTAGGCAACTTTACTGAAATATTCTTATATCTTCATCTGAAATCAAGAACATGCTAAAGTTGCAATATATGAAAAAACAATATAGGCGTCAGTTTAAATGGACACAAAGAAGTTGTTTTAATGCTCAATATTTTAAATGTCTTTATTTGTATGTCTCTTCACTGTCTGTATTAACATTAGAAATAATTTTAATCTATCTCCGTCGATGAAAATTAAATTAATACAGTAAAACTATAAAACTAACTGCAGAAATGTATCTTCATTCTTGATGTTGTAGTTCTCAGCAACGACAGACAAAAGAACATTTATTTAAACTTAAAGTTACACTTAAGCAATTAGGATTTTAATTTAAAAAGTGATTATTTGTTACTTAAATTTAAATAGAATTATAATGCCGTATGTTATGAAAGATATTGATTCATTTGGCATCACTTTCAAATGAACATCCACGACTGATCTCGATATATTTTTTTTAGTTTTGAAACTTAAATGTAAAATGGGGGCGGAAAGTATGTGCTAGACCACTAATTTGATGGTCCGCTGCCCTTGAAGATCTATGACTTTGTCCAATTTTGACAACCCAATATCATGAAACCAAGTCACCCTCAACTTAAACTCTAACAATATTTGTATGATGAAAATGTTTTGCATTCAGAAAGCTACAATCGTGTTAATGTATTTAGGTTTTGCTTTACATTTAGTACTCTCTTTAATGTATGCCGTCATCTTAAGTAAAATTGCTACATCAAACGGAAATAGTTCTAGATGTTTCTGACAGTGTTTCCACCTTGACATTTTATACACCTTCACATTCTTTAAAACGCATTTGTTTGATCAATTCATGAAACCAGGAAAATGATTTATGACAGTGAAACCTAAAAGAAACCTGAGTAATAAATATGATAAAGCAAAAATTATCAAAAGGCACACACTAAGTAGAGGATGGTGTAAAATGTGAAAAGAAAGACGCAAGTAAAACAGAGACTTTTCTACCGAGAGGTAAACTATAAATTAACAAAGAAAAATGAAAAAAATCAGCGGCAGTAATTCAATGTTGTCATGCTAGGAATAGATTCATTTTTTGTGCAGAGACATACAGGGTATTGTCATTTTCTGGATTTCTTTCTCTGTGTATACTAATCACATCCTGTGATCATTTTAAAATAATTTTAATTTCATTTTTAAATGATTAAACAAAAACTAGTAAAACACGTAAATATTTAATCT